ATGGCATGGACCCAATTAGAGTTTTCAGGCGTAGCCTATCTGAGCAGCTGCATTTAAGTTAGAACATTTTGGACAAAAAGGACCTGGCCATGCTGAGAGCATTCCTGGCAGATAGAAGATCATGTGAAAGAGTCTTAGTATTATTTCAGTCTTCTTAAATTTATTGAGACTTGTTTTGTGGTCTAATATGTGATCTATCCTGGAGAATGTTCCATGTGCATTTGAAAGGAATGTGTATTCTGTGGTTTTTGGATGGAATGTTCTGTAAAATCTAAGTTCATCTGGTCTAGTGTGCCATTTAAAGCCAATGTTTACTTATTGATCTTCTGTTTGGATGATCCATCCATTGGTCTAAGTCCCCCACTACTATTGTGTTGCTATGTATTCACCTTTCATGTCTATTAATAATTGCTTTATATATTTAGGTGCTTCTATGTCAGTGCATAGATATTTACAAGTATTATATCCTCCTGTTGGATTATTCCCTTTATCATTATGTAGTGTCCTTCTTTGTCTCTTGTTATAGTGTTTGTTTTAAAGTCTATTTTATCTGATAGAAATATTACTACCCCAGCTTTCTCTTCATTGCTGTTTGCATGGAGTATCTTCTTCCATCCTTTTGCTTTCAGTTTGTGAGTGTCTGTAGGTCTGAAGTGTGGCTCTTGTGAATGCAGCATACATATGGATCTTATTTTTTTATCCAATTTGCCATCCTCTGCCTTTTGATTGGACCGTTTAGTCCATTGACATTTAAAATAGCTATTGATAAGAATGTATTTATTGTCATTTTGTTACTTTTTTCCTGGGTGTTTTAGTAGTTCTTTATTCCATTCTTCTACTCTTGCTTTCTTCCCTTGTGATTTGATGGCTTTCTTTAGTATTATGTTTGGGTTCCTTTCTCTTAATTTTTTATATTTATTATAGGTTTCTGGTTTGTGATTACCATGAGGTTCATATATAATAACCTATGTATATAGCTCTATATTAAGTTCTTGGTCTCTTTTGTTTGATCTCTTGCTAATAGCTCTACTCTTTTACTCCCCTCCTCCTACATTATATGTTTTTGATACCATATCTAACCTCTTTTTGTGTGTGTGTGTATATCTGTTACCCTATTATTATGGAAATAGATAATTTTAGTACTTTTGTCTTTTGACCTTCATATTGGCTTCATAGGTGATTGATCTGCTACCTTTACTGTATATTTGCCTTTACTAGTGATTTTATTGTGGGGTTTCTTTTGATAATTTTCTTATTCCTATTTGTGATCTTCTCTTTCCCACTTAAGTAAGTCCCTTTAGCATTTCTGGTAAGGCTGGTTTCTTGGTGACAAACTCCCTTAAGTTTTCCTTGTCTAGGAAATTCTTTATCTCTCCTTCCATTCTGAATGATAACCTTGCCTAGTAGAGTATTCTTGGCTATAGGTTTCTTCCTTTCAGCACTTTAAATATATCATACCACTCCCTTCTAGCCTGTAAGGTTTCTGCTGAGAAGTCAGCTGATAGCCTTATAGGGTTTCCTTTGTATGTCACTTGTTGCCTTTCTCTTACAGCTTTTAGGATTCTCTCTTTATCTTTAATTCTTAATGTTTTAATTACAGTGTGTCTTTGGGTGGGCCTCTTTGGATTTATCTTGTTTGGTGCTCTCTGTGCTTCCTGTACCTGGATGTCTGTTTCCTTCCTTAGGTTAGGAAAGTTTTCAGCTATTGTTTCTTCAGATAGATTCTCTGCCCCTTTGTCTCTCTGTTCTCCTTCTGAGACACCTATAATATGGATATTAGTGTGCATGATGTTGTCCCAGAGTTCCCTTAGACTGTTCTCATTCTTTTTAATTCTTTTTCTTTTATCTGTTCAGCTTGGGTGATTTCCTTTAGTCTTTCGTCCAGCCCACTGATCCGTTCTTCTGTATCAACTAGTCTGCTATTTAGTCCCTCTAGTGAATTTTTCATTTCCAGTATTGTATTCTTCATTTCTGATTGGCTCTTCTTATATTTTCCAGTTCTTTGTTGAAGTTCTCGCTGACTTTGTCCATTCTTCTCCCAAGATCAGTGAGCATCCTTATGACTATTAGTTTGTACTCTTTCTTGGGTAGATTGTTTATCTCTGTTTCATTTGGTTCTTTTTCTGGGGTTTTGTCCTGTTCCCTTACTTGGAACGTATTACTTTGTCTCCTCATTTTGCCTCTTCCTTTGTGCTTACATCTATGTATTAGGTGGGTCAGCTAATCTCCCAATCTTGGAGAGGTGGCCTTATGTAAGAGATGCCTTATGAAGCCCAGCAGTGTGCTTCCCTCTTGTCACCAGTCCAAATGATCCAGGAGTATTCCCTGTGTGGGCTCCATGTGTCCTTCTGTTGTGCCAGGGTTGCTCTTGCTGCAGTTGCCCAGGGAGGCTAGGCTGTCTCCCTGGCTGGCTGGTTGTAATCATCAGGTGCATGTGGCTTCTGTGGTCCCTTCAGTCACTTTGGGGCATGGGGAACCCCAGCATGGTTGGCTGCAAGGTCTAATAGCAAATTCCTGTTGCAGTTTTTCTGTTGAGTAGGCCCCAGCGTGGCTGGTTGCTAGGCTCAGGGGCTTATAATTGCTATAGGCCTCCAGCCTGCAAAGCTGTTGTCAGCTCTCTCAGGAGTGCCGCTGAGTGGGGCAAGCCCCAGGTATGGAAATACCCAGTTGTTGCAGGCTTCGGAAGGTGGGGCTTGTCCCCTATGTGGCTGTTTGAGAAGCACAAGTCTGCTGTGGCTGACACACTCCACCACCTGCAGGGCCACACACCCCATCAACACAGTCCTGCCCTGTGCACACACCCCAACCCACTGAAGCGGATACAGTTGCCCCATTGCAGAGGCCCCACACACTCCACCAATGCAGGCCCACCGCTCATGCACACCCTGCCCCACAGAGGTGGACTCACTCACCCAGCTGCAGAGGTTCTATGCACCCCACCTATGCAGGCCCACAAGTTTCCCAAGGGCTTGCTCTTCAGTGGGGCCAGTTCCTAGAGTGGGCTGCCTTCCCTGGCTGAGCTGGATTAGATTGGTGCTCTAGTAGGTGGGGCAGACCCCTGCACTAACATGCCAGGGGAAGAACTCCAATAGCTTCTGACAGTGTCTTGTGTCAGTGCGCCTGTACTAGGTCACAATAATGGCTGCCACCAATGTCTCAGTCGCTGGGGAGATCTTACCTCTCACTGAGATGCACCCATAACCTATGAATTGAGTCTCTTTTCATCAAAGGACTATGCACCTTTCCTTCTGGTTATTTTAAGTTGCTTTCCAAAATGGGTGAATTTGTGCATGGACCCTTTAAGAGCAGGCTTTTTTTCCCCTTATGTCTGTTAGCTTTTCTGGGGGTATTCTCCATTTTAGTTAACAGCCAGCAAAGCCAGATATGACATTTGTCTTGGTTGTACTGAGTCCAAAAGCTGCTTATTGTGGTAATGCTCCCCCTCTCAGATCCCCCACTCCTCCGGGGAAGGCTTTGTACCTTAAGATTGCTCCCAGCCAGCCATGAAGTGCCTTGGCTAGAAGCTGTCTTTTTTCTCTCCAGGAAGGAATTTCTGCCTCTTCCATCTCAGTCAGCACTGTCCCTTGTTATGGGGGTTCTTTTTTCCCATTTTCAGTTCTCTCTCAGGGGTAGTTCTTCCAAGAGTAAGTTGTAAATTTGTTGTGTCCTTGGGAGGAGGTGAGTTCGGAGTCCTCCTACGCTGCCATCTTGACATCGTCTCCTGAAAGAGTCTTAAATGGGAAAGAATTTGATATGTTCCAGGAGCTTAAATAAAGCCACTAAGTTTAGAGCATTGTTCCTGAAGATAGTAATGGTTCAAAATGAGGTCAAAAAGGTAATCAAGGAATGGATCATGCCTGGGCTTGTAGGCCACAAATAGGAGTTTGGATTTTATTCTAAGTACAAAAGTAAACCATTGAAACGTTTTAAGTTTCATTCTCAAACTTGTTTTTATATCAGAAGCATCTGGGGAGATTGTTCTGATGAACAAAGGAGCATTTGCATTTTTTAAATTGTTGACAAATATTGAGTGTCAACAATGTGTGAGAAATGGTTTTAGGCACTAGAAATAAAGCAGAGGATGAAACAAACTCCTTGCTTTGATTAAGCATGGGGGAGGCAAACAAGGCACAAACTTAAAAAAAAAAAGGATATCCATTAGTGATAAATGCATTCTAGGTGCTATTATATATTGCATGTTTTTGATAATGTGACATTTCAGCAGACAACTGAAATGAGAGAGCGAGCCATGCAGATATCTGGGGGAATTTTCCAAAAAGTAAACATGGAGGCATGTGCTTGGCAATTTTGAACAGCAACAAGGCGATTGTGGTGAGAGCAAAATGAATAACTAGGAGAGTGGTAAGAGATGACATTAGAGAAGTTGCCAAGGCAAACTCATGTAGGGTCTTGTGGGCCATAGTAAGTAGGACTTTGGGTTTTATTCTGAGATGGTAAACTCTTAGATTTTTAGTAGGGGAGTAATACAATATGAATTCCATTTTAAAAGGATTCCTCTGGCTGCTGTGTGAAGAAAAATTGTAGGGGCAAGGTTGAGAGCAGAGAGACCAGTGAGAGACTGGTGGCTTGGCCTAGGGTGGTAGCAGTGGATGTGATCAGATACTTGATAAATTTGACAGGAGAGCTAATAGGATTTCTTCATAGATTGGATATCCACCCAGACGTTTGTTTGTTTATTTGTTTCAGCAGGGAGAGAGATGTTTTGTTATTTTATAAGCTTCCTTGGTGATTCTACTCCACTCCAAAGTTGGAGAACCACTGACTTAATCTGTTCTCCTAGTTACTTTCCTCCCTATAAACTCCTTTCATTCTGTGTTCTCTCCTTGTGTCCTTTTTTTAATTGCACAAAATATTAGAGCACTATGTAAGCCACTCTATTCTAATGTGAATTTTCATTTTAGCTACCATTTTTATCTTAGAAGTTTCATTTCTCCTTGTAAACAAAAACAGCAGGAATTTTCTTTCTTGTTATCTTACAGACTTGGAATCCAGTTGTGGGACCAAAAAGTCATCTCCAGAAAAAGGAACTTATGAAACGGAATCACTGCAGTGGAATTATATGAGGAAACCTGTCAGCCATAACCTTAAGCACCATGATCTTGGAGATAATATGGAGTGCAAAGACAAGTTTGAGGGTCAACAGAGAAGTCAGGAAGGACTTTACATGCACATGAAAATCACCTGTGAAGAAAAGCCCACTCAAAGCCATTCCACATCCCTTACTCTTCATCAGATAAATCCTACCAAGGAAAAGTTGTACAAACGTAAGGAAGGTAAACAAGCTTTCAGCTACCTGCCATGCCTTATTCAACATGAGAAAAGTCATAATAAAGAGAAACACTCTGAAGTTAAGAAGCGTAGGAAGACCTTCAGCAAAAAACTAACCTATAGTCAACATGAGAGGATTCAGAATGATGAGAAACCTTATGAGTGTGTGGAATGTGGGAAAGCCTTTGGTCGGAGTTCTGATCTGATTCAACATCAGAAAATTCACACTGATGAAAAACCTTATCAGTGCAAAGCATGTGGGAAGGCCTTTATTCGTGGTTCACAGCTCACTGAACATCAGAGAGTTCATACAGGAGAGAAACCATATGAATGTGAGAAATGTGGAAAAGCCTTTAGTTATTGTTCACAATACACTCTCCATCAGAGAATTCATAGTGGTGAAAAACCCTATGAATGCAAGGAATGTGGGAAGGCCTTTATTCTTGGCTCCCAACTTACTTACCATGAGAGAATTCATAGTGGCGAGAAACCTTATGAGTGTAAGGAATGTGGAAAGGCCTTTATTCTTGGTTCACACCTTACCTATCATCAAAGAGTTCACACTGGTGAAAAGCCTTACAGATGTAAAGAATGTGGGAAGGCCTTTTTATGTGCCTCCCAACTTAATGAACATCAGAGAATTCATACAGGTGAGAAACCCTATGAATGTAAAGAATGTGGGAAGGCCTTTTTCCGTGGCTCACAACTTACTTACCATCTGAGAGTTCATACAGGTGAGAGACCCTATAAATGCAAAGCATGTGGGAAAGCCTTTATTTCCAATTCTAATCTTACTCAACATCAGAGAATTCATACAGGTGAGAAACCCTACAAATGTAAAGAATGTGAGAAGGCCTTTGTCTGTGGCAAACAACTTAGTGAACATCAGAGAATTCATACAGGTGAGAAACCTTTTGAATGTAAGGAATGTGGAAAGACCTTTATTCGTGGTGCCTATCTTACTCAACACGAGAAAATTCATGGTGAAAAGCATTATGAATGTAAGGAATGTGGGAAGACCTTTTTTCGTGCCACACAACTTACATATCATCAGAGAATTCATACAGGTGAAAAACCCTACAAATGTAAGGAATGTGACAAGGCTTTTATTTATGGCTCACAACTTAGTGAACACCGGAGAATTCATAAAGGTGAAAAGCCCTATGAATGTAAACAATGTGGGAAGGCCTTTATTCGTGGCTCACACCTTACTGAACATCTAAGAACTCATACTGGTGAGAAACCCTATGAGTGTAAGGAGTGTGGGAAGGCCTTTAGTCGTGGCTCAGAACTTACTCTACATCAAAGGATCCATACTGGTGAGAAACCCTATGCATGTGTCCACTGTGGTAAAGACTTTAGACGTCATTCACAACTCACTCAACACATGAGGCTTCATAATTGAGAAAGCCTTGAATATGATTTAAGATAGGAAACTTTCACCCGTCTTCAACAGCTCTGGAATATTAGAGAACATGTTATATTGTGTTTGTAATGAATGTAGAACATCCTCTTGCTTGTGCTCAAAATCAACTCATTTTTAGAAAGCCTGTATTAATGAAGGTAGAAATGACCTCTGGAACCCAGTAAACATTTTTTAAAAAATCTTTATAATCCTGGAATGTAATGCTGAATTATATGCTTTATTGAGCACCATCTCTATTTCACCATTTCTTAACTGTGAAATTAGATAACTTACTTAAGCTCTCTGTGCCTCAGTTTCTTTATGTGTTAAATACTGTATTATATGTGTACTATATAATATGTATTAAATGTATATAATGATTAAATTATAAATGATTAAATACATGTAACTCCCTTTGGACAGTATCTGATACTCAGTGTGATTATCATTGCTATTGTTGACATTATTATATGCTATTCGAGAAGTCAAATGGTAGGACTATTTTATGAGTACAGGAATGTGACAAAAGCTTTAGAATATAAGGGTTTGAAGGCCTCCATCTCAGAGCTCATAAATTTTGCTGCACCAGAAAATTCATACTGGAAAGTAATTTTATGGGAGAAATTTCTTTAAGGTCATAGAGCTTTTTTGTAATATCAAGGAGAGGTGATTTTTCTACAACAAATTCCAAAAGCAGAAGTCATTCTTCCACATTTTCTAATTACTACTTTAAGGGAAAAAGAATTTATCAACAAAATGATAGCCAAGGTAGCTCCATTTTTTAAAAAAGATATAAATTATTATTGTCTTAAATGAGAAATCTAAACAAAATTTAGCCACTACAGTTTTCTTTCTTTTTTTTCTAAAGATTTTATTTTTCCTTTTTCTCCACAAAGCCCCCTAGTACGTAGTTGTGTGTTTTTTTTTCAGTTGTAGGTCCTTCTAGTTGTGCTATGTGGGATGCTGCCTCAGCATGGCTTGATGAGCGGTGCCATATCCTCACCCAGGATTCAAACTGGCGAAACCCTGGGCTGCCGAAGCAGAGCACGCAAACTTAACCACACGGCCACGGGGCCTGCCCCTACAGTTTTCTTCATTATCTGAATCTAATGTATTCCTGATAATATGTTGAATAGTAAATTTTCGGATGCCCAAATTTCAGAGCTTACATTCCATAATTTTATAAATAGGAAAAATGATAATGTTTCTAGCTCATTCAAATACCCTAACTTATTTTCCCAAGTACAACTTAAATTCAACTTAAACTACCTAATGACTTCTCTTGGGGATTTTTGAATAATATAAAACATTTAAAACTCCAGTTAGGTGCCGGCCCTGTGGCCAGGTGGTTAAGTTCATGGGGCTCCAGCTTCAGTGGCCCAGGGTTTCGCCAGTTTGAATCCTGGGCATGGACATGGCACCGCTCATCAAGCCATGCTGAGGTGGCATCCCACATGCCACAACTAGAAGGACCCACAACTGAAAATACACAGCTATGTACCAGGGGGCTTTGGGGAGAAAAAGGAAAAATAAAAACTCAGTTAACAAGTAATTAATAAGCAGATAATGTTTGTGCATGCAATGATTTTGAATATTATAAAGTATGAATTATGTTTTCCTTCCACTCGAACAAATACTATGATGATAAATAATGAAATGTATCAGTACATAATGGACACAAATAACAGTAAAATAAAAGAAAATGACAGTAAGTAATAATGAGAGTAAAATAAAAGCCATTGATAGAAGAGTTGAAACAAAAGTTCCCAAGACAACACTTGCCTTTTCTATATGTGATACACTCTGCTGTTTTCTATCACATTCTAGTAAACACTACACCCACTCAGTTGTCTTCATGACTTAATACTGTTCATTATCCCCACTCTGAAAGAGTGGTTTTACATATATATTCCAAATGTTAATTCACGATTTTTAAAACTGCAAAAAAAAAAAAAAAAAAAAAAAAAGATAAGGACGATTGAAAACCATTAGAAGTCCCTGAATCATTCGTGTGACTCCTGTGATGCCAGTGGAGTCCTGCATTCTCTGCTCAGCTTGGACAAACTATGCATCATTGCTCAGTCGTTTAGAATTCAGGGATTACCATTATTGCCAAACTAAATTTAAAGAAAATGTAAGTAATAAAATGTTAAGGAGAATGTTACATGCTCTATCGATAATACCTCTGCCAAGTAACATATTTGCATGTTAACAGCCTTTTGCAGAAAATACCCTAAGACAGACTCCCAAAATACATTCAAGAAATAATAATCTCCAAAATGCCATTGGAGAAGAGGGTTCTGCCTCATTGCGTATAAGGCAGCGCATAACTAAATTCCCTTATTGCCACAACGAATTCCATGTTGAACAAGCCAAATTAAAGGGTTAGAAGACCTGCAATAAAGAAAAATATTACCTTTATTCAACTCATTGTTTCCCAGTCCTGACCATGAATCCCTTCTCTTCCATAAACACACTTTGAGAAATACATCCTTGACCAAAAGGAATAATACAAGAGGAAATTTAGGCATATGGCAGTTAATTAAACTTGGTGGGGAGTGTAGTGCTGTCTGTTCTACAGTCAGTCACCACACAATTCAGGGACAACCCTCTAGCTCAAGTTTTTACAACCTTTTCCCTGCTCCCTCATCAGCTAGTTGAATTTAATAAGGTTTTTATTCTTGATGCTGTTACAAGATTGTTTAACAGGAGAAACTTGAATGAGTATTAGTTATCAGAATTGTTATATTTATTTCATAAACCAAATTTTGAAAGAGTTTCCTTTTTCAGGTAGTTGGGAGGAGATAGGAATGTACCCTAAGGACGGGATTACTAAGGACAAACAGAAGTTGTGCCGGAAATGTTGCTTAGTTGCTACTTTAAGATATATTGATAACACCATAACTGGTCAAAATTAAGTTTTACTTTCCTTACATGCATATAATTCTTTTCAAAAGTCATTACATTCCTCCTGGGCCACCTCTGGTGACCTAGTGGTTAAGTTCAGTGCACTCTGCCTCAGCGGCCTGGGTTTGGTCCCCAGACGTGCACCTACACCACTTCACAGTGGCCATGCTGTGGTAGTGGCTGACATACAAAAAGGGAAAGATTGGCAACAGATGTTAACTCAAGGTGAATATCCCTCAGCAAAAAAACAAAAACAAAAACAAAAACCACTACATTCCTCTTAGAAAATTACATAATAAAGTTTACCCCATACCAAAGAAATAGTGCAAAAAAATTTTTTTCTTGGATTCATAATAGTTTACATCAATGTGAGATTTCAGTTGTACATTATTTCTTGTCTGTCACCACATAAGTGCTCCCCTTCATCTCCTGTGCCCACTCCACCCTCCTTCCCCTGGGAACCACTGAACTGTTTTCTTTGTCCAAGTACTTGTTTATATTCCACAGAAGTGAAATCATCTGGTGTTCGTCTTTCTCAGACTGGCTTATTTCACTTAGCATAAATCCTTCTAGGTCCTTCCATGTTATGGCAAATGGGATGAATTTGTCTTTTTTTCTGGCTGAGTACTATTCCATTGTATATATACACCACATCTTTATCCAGTCATCAGTCGATGGGCACTTGGGTTGCTTCCATGTCTTGGCTATTGTGACTAGTGCTGCAATGAACATAGGGGTGCATATGTTACTTTGGATTGTTGATTTCAAATTGCTTGGGTACATACCCAGTAGTGGGATAGCTGGGTCATATGGTAGTTCTTATTTTTAGTTTTTTGAGGAATCTCCATGCTGTTTTCCATAGTGGTTGCACCAGTTTGCATTCCCACCAGCAGTGTATGACAATTCCCTTCTCTCCACACCCTCTCCAACATTTGTTATTCTTAGTCTTATTGATTATAGCCATTTTAACAGGCGTAAGGTGGTATCTTAGTGTAGTTTTGATTTGCATTTCCCTGATGATTAGTGATGTTGGACATCTTTTCATGATGTTGGCCATCTGTATGTCTTCTTTGGAAAAATGTCTGTTCATCTCCTCTGTCCACTTTTTGATCGGGTTGTTTCCTTTCTTACTGTTCATTTGTGTGAGTTCGTTATGTATTATGGAGATTAAACCCTTGTCAGACATATGATTTGCAAATATTTTCTCCCAATTGGTGGGTTGTCTCTTTGTTTTGATCCTAGTTTCTTTTGCATTGCAGAAGCTCTTTAGTCTGATGAAGTCCCACTTGTTTATTTTTTCTTTTGTTTCCCTTATCTGAGAAGACATAGTATTTGAAAAGATTCTTTTTAGTTCGATGTCAAAAAGTGTACTACCAATATTATCTTCCAGGTGTTTTATAGTTTCAAGACGTATCTTCAAGTCTTTGATCCACTTTGAGTTTATTTTTGTGTGTGGTGTGAGATAGTGGTCTACCTTCATTCTTTTGCATGTGGCTGTCCAGTTTTCCCAACACCATTTATTGAAGAGACTATCTGTTCTCCATTGTATGTTCTTGGCACCTTTGTGGAAGATTAACTGTCTGTAGATGTGTGGTTTTATTTCTGGGCTTTCAGTTCTGTCCATTGATCTGGGTGGCTGTTTTTGTACCAGTACCATGCCATTTTGGTCACTATGGCTTTGTAGTACATTTTGAAGTCAGGGATTGTGATACTTCCGGCTTTGTTCTTTTTTCTCAGGATTGCCTTAGCAATTCAGGGTCTTTGATTGCCTTAAATGAATTTTAGGATTCTTTGCTCTATTTCTGTGAAGAATGTCATTGGGATTCTGATTGGGATTGCATTGAATCTGTAGATTTCTTTGGGTAGTATGAACATTTTAACTATGTTTATTCTTGCAATCCCATGAGCAAGGAATCTCTTTCCATCTCTTTAAGTGATTATCAATTTCTCTCAGTAATGTCTTATAGTTTTCATTGTATAAGTCCTTCACCTCCTTGGTTAAATTTATTCCTAGGTACTTTCATATTTTTAGTTGCAATTGCAAATGGAATTATATTCTTGAGTTCTCTTTCTGTAAGTTCATTATAAGAGTACAGAAATGAAACTGATTTTTGTAAGTCGGTTTTGTACCCTGCAACTTTACTGTAGTTGTTAATTATGTCTAATAGTTTTCCGATGGATTCTTTAGGGTTTTCTATATATAAGATCATGTCGTCTGCAAACAGTGAGAATTTTGCTTCTTCACTCCCTATTTGGGTTCCTTTTATTCCTTTCTCTTGCCTGATTGCTGTGGCCAAAATCTCCAGTACTATGTTGAGGAAGAGTGGTGAGAGTGGGCATCCTTGTCTTATTCCTGTTCTCAGAAAGATGGCGTTCAGTTTTTGCCAAGTGAGTATGATGTTGGCTGTGGGTTTGTCAGATATGGCCTTTATTCTGTTGAGGTAATTTCATTCTATCCCCATTTTGTTAAGAGTTTTTCTCATATATGGCTGTTAGATCTTGTCAAATGCTTTCTCTG